AGAAGCAAATGAAGTAGAAACAGGACCTGTGACCATAAAATCCTCTTAAGGACTGTGATGCACTTAGATATAGGTTGTCACCCCAGGGCAGAGACACCAAATCCCCAATCATCACTGAATCCTGCCACATTGCCCACCTTTAGCCCTCCTGCTATAGCAACTAACATAAAGATGTTTGGGGTTTTTTTTTTGCTAGAGATGGGTCTAAAGTAGCATGTCCTCACTTTCAAAGAAACCTTATGGAAATGGGTCAAAATTGGGAGTGTGCGGGAGGCAGAGAGGTTAGGTGGCCAGCAGAGTTGTGCAGAGAAGCCTTTGACCTCTGAACAGACAGTTTGCCATTTGTGTCATTGTCTTTCTGCACTTTAAGCGTCGGGGATAATCTGGAATGCACTCCTCCTGCTTTGGAGACAGATGGCAGTGAGGAAGCAGGTTGGAAGAAAGGAATAATAAATATCTGAAGGTGAGTAACTGTCTTGGCTTTAGGCAGCTGTGCCTGTGGTTTTTCTCAGGGTGCACAAATGTCCCCTCATTTACTGAGCTGAGCGGTTCTAGTAACTTTTTATTACGTGTTTCCTGCACTGTCTGGCCAGGGTCAGGGATGTTAAGACCTGGGGGAAGTCTGGAGCTGGGGGTGCTGTGTGATCAGGGTGTGATAAGGCAGAGTGACAGGCTGGTTTGTGGCAGGGAAGGCAGTTAGCTTGGCAGAGTAGGAAGGGTTGTGGAAAGTTGCTTTGTTAGCAAGAAGGGTTGTTTCTTCCAATTTTTGGACTACTCAGAAGACAACTCACCTCTTTTAACCTGCTGCTAGAGACCACCATGGACACTAGCTAAACAGCAGCTGGATATAATACACATAAGCTATTTGAGATGTCTTCTTGCACCTTTCCTCCTGGGGACTCAGGGCACCACAAGCACTGTGATTCACTGTTGGGTAGGGGAGAGAAATTATTTTGTGTGTTATTTGGTGGCAAAAGGCTGGTTGCAGGTCCCTCATTTGGAGTCAGACGTGCTGTAACATACTTTTGGGAGGGCTCTAAATGATGCCAACAGTGTTACAGAGCCATCCATGAGTTGTAAATAGTTGGTGCAGGGCAGTCTACTTCCCAATCCCATCCATCCTCTCTTAGGAGGCAGAGACCTGGTGGAGAAGTCATGTCTCCACTGTCTGAAGAGCATTTATATACAGAGAGTTTGGGGAGACTTACTGTTCTTTGTTCCTCTGTGGAGCAGTTTGCATCACAAACTGGACACCCATCATAGGTAGAAGGAGGATAATTCCACAAAGTAGTGCTATGCAACTTTTAGGACACAAAAATGCAGAAAAAACTGTCAAAGCCAAAGTACACTCCGTGTAGTTGACATAGGAGGCTGAAATAAGATAGGCAGTTTGTAATTACTTACATTGGAATTTGGCCAGGACATTGAGGTTAACATCACAACTTCACAAGGACTTCAGAAGCAGCTGTGGATCTCTCCCAGTTGAGGAGACATGCAGGGAACTTCCCTGAAACCTCCTGGCTTGGGCCATCACGTGTAATGCATGCAAGCTCTCACCCGGGCCAAGGCCAGGAGGAACACAATGGATAGGAGAGAGATCTGATATGTCTTCATTGACATGCCAGAACCAAATAAACAAACAGCAAGGCTGTTGCTCCTCAACCCAGGGCTGTTGGTCTTCTGCCACAGAGCTGTCATTCTTCTTGACAGTGTGCATCTGCCTGGGATAGTCCACCTTCTGAGATGGGAAAGCATAAGAAGGCCACAAAAGGCACAGGCGGCTGCAGCCCGTGAGCAACCCTCACCACAGCAAAGAGAAGGGGGAGTTTAAAGAAACTCCATACAACCAAGATTTTTATTTTTTTCTAAGAAAAAGTTGATTTCAAAAAACATAAGGGAAAATCTCTTGGGCTTGTGCCATCTGTAACATATGGCAGAAGCACAAGCTCCTGGGTATCTCTCCACAAACACAAAGGTATTTTATGGCAGCTCTTAAATAGACCCTAACCAGACTCAGAAGCAATAATTTTAGAACATTTCTCTCCAGAAAGACCACACCTCAAGTTTTTCTTGGAACTCAGTTGCATTAAGAGCAATCTTGTTCCTTAAGGCCTGGGCTTTTTTTTTTTTTTTCCTACTAAGAACTCAGGTGTTTGAACCATGAACTAAGATGCCAACAGTTCACCTTGTTGTAACCATCTTCCTTAATGCCTGGGCTTTTTTTTTTTTTTTCCTACTAAGAACTCAGGTGTTTGAACCATGAACTAAGATGCCAACAGTTCACCTTGTTGTTTTAATTTAAGCAATCTGCAGCTTCAATTAAACAGAAGTGCTGAAAAAACAAAGATGGCATATTGACCATCGTGTGGGAGCAAGGACGTTTCTTCCACCCATTAAACCCATGAAAGAGGACAGAAGACTTTGTCAAAAGACCTTTTGCACGTGTTAGAGGGATAGATTAGCTCTGTACCAGTCAAAATAGGAAATACCACCCATTAAAACCGGGTGTTGGAATGACTGAAAAGCTTTGTGAAAGTGAAGTGCTAAGTAGAATGGAAAAACCATCATTCCCAAAGCTACTCTTTGGAGATTTCTGGGAAAATTGACTTACCTGCTAATTTTTGATCAAGTCTTGATGGGACTGGTCTTAACCCTGGCAAGGACCATAATCTACTCACTTAATCTGTCTGCAAAACAATGCCATATTGCAAAGAGCTGAGATGCTGTTTAGGTAATTTAGCTTTGCTTTTTCTTTCCCCTGTTGCAAGCTGAGCCAGCCCTTTTTGTTCACTTGAATAGCTTCTTCAAAGGGCCTGTGGAAAAGTCTTATTTCTTCCCCTCAAGTGACACATTTTTAAGCAATCAAAAAGATATCTTGTCCAACAGAATTACCCTCCACAAATCTGACCCTGACAGAGCTGAGGTAAAGTGTGATTTTTAACCTCAAGCACTAAAACATGTCAGGAAAGTTGTAGCTGTGGCGGAAAGACCTTGAGGTGGCTAAAATTTATGGAGATGAGACGTTAAAAGTTTTAAATTCCAGATGTTTGAAGCTCCAGCCATTTGGTGAGCAAAGGAGGAATTTTGGACCATTTCTCAGGCATGGAGTTCAGCCCCAGAAATCTGTTCAGACTGTGATGCAGCTATTTAATTGTCAGAAGACCAACAATTAAATAGCTTAAATAGTTATTAAATAGTTTATATAAACAATTAATTATCATGCTGGGACATAAGACATTTGCTGTTCCTTGGAATCACTGAGAGAGACGTATGGAGTGTCACATTTTCAAAGGAGCACCCATGCATTGTTACTAAAGAATTCTTTATAAAATGTCACTCAGCTGTTTTAATTTATTGAGGAAATCTGTGAGATGACATGTTGCAGAGCTATTAGAAAATGCATGTTCCAGTTACAGTCACTTTAACCTCATGGCTTATCTTCAGCTAAGTGTGAAAGATAAAGACTGCCATTGAGACTACATTGATTTCTGCTTCAATCCTTGCCTCAAATGCTTGCTTGAAATTCCAGTTCCCATGAGTGTTTGTAGGATGAGTGTTTGTAACAGCAGAAGCATGTGTTGTAAAGTCAAATTATTCCCCTCCTTTCCCGAACTGTGAGAAAAGGAAATCAGGGAATGCAGTAAGATGGGAACAGTCTGTATCTGGAGGGAGTATATTAATAGACTAAAATAAGTACAAGAGAATTAGGTAGACAAAGGAAAAAATAATTTGAGGAATTATTTTTTTTTATCTTTTAAATCTTGGTAGCAGAGACATCATTCTGCTGGGACTTGGGCCCTTTCCCAGGCCAGTGACCCGATGTTCTACATCATGGAAGCAAACTTGGGGGCAGCAAAGGCAGCCAGACTTTCTGCTCTTGACTATCTCTGGCTGTTATAACAAAGTATTTTGCTATAGTATTTAACTGGCTCTGTTATAACAAAGGATTTTGCTTCTAGGTGATGCTTTGTGACATCAGAGCAACATGAGCCAGTGCAGCCAGAACTGGCTCTGTTTGCCACACTGAAAGAGGTTGAGGTGGGATTTTTCAGAGGAAGCAGCAATGGCAGGAACTATTTGAGGTGAAAATAGGCCAAATGAAAAAAAGCATGTCCCCACTCTCTAGTGTTCTCAACCTGTTTGGGGATGACAAATTAGAGGTATGAAAACGAGCAAGGATGTGACAGCAAAGGAGGAGGAGCGGTGTGCAATGGATGACTTAATAACAGGTTGCACTGATGGACAAATTGTGCCTCTGGACCGTTTGCCTCCTTGCATCTGCAGAAGGATGCTTGGATCCTTGTCAGGGAAAACTGAAAGTTGGTTCCCACTTGAACCATGCACATAATCAGCTGGCCCCAGATGCCAGCACCAGGCCATGGACCTGGCAAAGCCCTAGCCTCCTCCCTCCCAGGGGCTCCATCAATGGAAACAAAAAAGATGCAAGGGAAAGGCTCAGGCAGGCTTCAAAGGACATACGGACTTGGTTTTAAATTTAACCCCTATGTAGTTTAAATTTCATCCAGCTCTCCATGTGGCCAAGTGGCCCTGTTTGCCTCTGAGCAGCCAGTGGGACCGTCTGACATTAGCAGCAAAGACCCAAATATTGCAAATAGGGGATCCTGCATTTAATATCCTGATGGTCTTCAAGGTTATAATTTTATCTGTCCCAAAAGCTTCTCCCAGGCAATATTGCTCTGCAGACACCCAAAATGCAGCAGTAGGGTGTCTGTGGGAAGCTGTCCATTGTGCTGTGGGGTTTCTGTGCATGCAGTTCTTACCCCAATCATTCACTTTTATTCAGCATAAGACAAGCTGTCAACATTAAACATCCTGTCACTTTCTTAAATAAGGCTTCTTAAAGTAACCTGTAAGATTTTTACATCACTAACTGCTTTTCTTTGGTGCTGGCTGTGATACACAACACTGACCGTGTTCTAGCATGATGCCTCCTGACAGCTCTTGCTGAAGGTCTGATAATCTTCTTTTGTCCAATTTCTTTAGAGCAACACTTGGGGCTGCTCGGTTCCCATCTTCTCCTTCTCCAGTTTATCCCGGGACATTTTGTCCTCTTTGCCTTCCACAGTAAAAATTGTTGTGGCCTTCTCACCAGAGCCTGAGAGAAACAAATTAGTGGGTAAAGAGGAAATGCCAGAGGTAGATGGGTGCTACTGGGACTGATAGTGTTCCCTTGCTTGGGAGACATTCACACCACAAGCCCCTGAAGCAAGAAAGTTGGTTCTGAGGCCTCATGCAACACAAATACCAAATAATGATCATAAATTTAAAGAATGGCCTTGTTGAATGACCCCAGATGGCTTGTGGACTGAGAAGAAAATATGCCCTATAAATTTCAGGGGAAGTTAAAACACCCCCTTTTTCCTGACTACTTTTGCTGGATTGAGAGGCACATTCTGCAGCCTTCAGCTGGGCACTTGGGGCTAGCACTGATGCCATGTTCCAGTGACAACACTTTCCACTAGAGATGCAGACCCAAGAGAAAGAGAAAAGAACAATTGTTCTTGAAACTTTCCCAAAGGAGCTCCCTCCCAATCTAGCTCTACTGAAAAAAATATTTTCCAATATAAAATTATTCAGCAAAGTGTTTCCCATCCTTTTTAAGTCTAGGCATCCTGGCTTTGTTTTTTCATCACTTCTTCCGATGGACTTTTTAGGTGAGTGTGCTGTACCAAGGGCAGTCAAACTTCAGGTCCCAAATAAACTTGTGCAGCTGCTCCTCTTGGGCAATTCTTGACTTCCTTACCTACTCCAGGAATTCTGTGTACTGGAGATGTATGATAGTCAGTGACTCTATCTATTTAAACAAAAAATTCTGGTGGTTTTTTTTTAAATGTTAAGTCTTCCTTTATCCTACCAATATAGTTGAGGTCACAGGCCTTTCTGCCTTCACCATTTTTGCATCATTTAATATTTATATCATTTTATATATATCATTTATATATATCATGATATAAAATATATCATTTTACATACTTAACTATTCACTGTATTCATAGTTAGGGACTACAGATTATGAATACAAGGACCTACCCTCTTTATGTAAAATCCAAGGAAATTCACTAGAAATTTGAAAGCCTTCCCACCCACCCACAAAGAATTGGAGAATTAGGACTTAAGAGGTGTAATCAGTGGCACCAAGGCAGACACACGAGTGGCTGGAAGGGACAGGGCAGGACCAGCATCAGCCTTCATGAAGGTGGATTCCATGTAAGAAAGCTATGCTCCTACTCCACAAAAAAAACAAAGCAAACAACAAAACAAAACAAAACAAACCACCATTCTAAATGCACGATAGTCATGTCATTAAGCTGAAAAGTCAAGCATTTGAAAGTAATTACATGGCAAAATAGCCTCCTTGCCCAGTCCATTACTGTGGTGTTAATTAAAATCCTCGGGCTGGGCGCCTTGAAGACACGTGGGAGGGAGTTGTTCTAATCTGGGACGACTGGTAATGACAAATGGCAGTCACAAACCTCCAGAGTGCTGGCAGGGTGTTACAGCTCATCTATAGAGCCTTGGGGATCGGAAGCCAACCAAAACTTTAATCTCTAATTAAAAAAGAAAATAAAAACAAAGAAGGAAAATAAGTGGGTTTTCTTAAATGTGTTTACACACACACGTGCAAATGCTTCTTTTTAACTGTTAATGAAAACAGGATACATGGGCAGAGCTGGTACTTTCAGTAATAAATCCATGTACAGTAGCCCTATAATCCACAATTTCATGCTCAGCATAAAGGTAGAGTCTGACACAACTCTGAGTCACACACAGTTTACAATAATGGGAGAGGCTCTATGGGGAAGAGGTTTGTTTTATAAAGTTTATAAGCATTCTGACAGGCAGCAAACCAAAAAATGTATTCAGTTCTGATTTGCTTCTTGTGTTTGTCAGATTTCTCACCCTTTATTAATCAGGCAGATAATTTTGTGGGTAGAAAACAGGGTCACTCTGACACTGACATAACTATTCAGCCAGGAATTTTCCCTTTCCTCATCCTCAGGAACATGATAGTAGTTTTGTTAAGAAATAGAGGGAGGTTGCCTTTAAAAGATGCCTTTTTGATAGATATAGTTTTGAGTTTGTACTCCCAAATAACTTAAAGCTTTTTCTCTTCTTTCAGTGGAAAATATGTCCCCAACTGTACAGATCATGACTTTCACAATAAGGCTCCATATTTGAATATTTGCCTAATGCACAGCACAGTGAAACACCCAACTTCTTCTGTTGAAATCAGTCTGAACTGTCAGACCCATCCACAATTTAAATCCCTTCCAACCTCACCCATTTTGGATGAGTTTCCTTTGATCAACACAAGTAAGTAATCCTTGATGTGTCAGTGCTACAATTAACCCTCTGTGTCCAATCCACAGATGACACAATCTATCACAGCTCTGCTTCAGGAAACTTCAAGTTATTTCAACTGTCTACTTAAAGGCTTGATGCAATTGCACATTCAAGGAAAAAAACCTCACAGAAGTGAAGCTGTTCCCTCCCATTGCATTGGCCATGGTTTATACTTACTAAATAAGTGAATACACCCATATTTTTATTTACCACTACTTCATTGTTGAGGAACATCAGCCAAAACCAGTACAGAGCCCAGCTAAACACTGGGGAGCAGGATTTATGCAATGTCCAGCAGATGATGGATATTTCCTCCCAGAGTGCATTATTTATTTGTCTGGAGCTGTTGGCATGCACAAGTTTCTGACACGTACAGGTAATTTTGAAAAATGTGGTTTGTGAGCATATGAAAGAAAGCAAGCAGCAGGGCTTGTTGCACACGCACAGCCGAGAGCAAAAGGTTCACCTATGGCTTTGAAAATGCTCGTTGTGTCTTTGGTGGAGGAGCTTGAATGAAATCATTTATATTAGCTGCAATATCTGGCTGACTCCACTGATCTCCATAATCAAACGCAAGAGATTTAGAGGGGAGAAGGGGAGAGGAAGGGGGGGGAAAGCGTGTATAATTAAAACCTTGTTCTAATTCTGCTTTGAAGTTTTTGCCAGGACAGGTTGGACTAGTCAAAAGTCCCAAACATTTTAGATAGGTTTTTGGTTTGTTTTTGGCTTGTTGTTTTTTTTTTTTAATTCTGTCAGTGGCCGCAAAGCAGCAAAGTGGTTATTAGCCTTATAAGGTATCAAGGTAAATATTTCAGATCCCCTGTGAATTTCAGTCTCTCCTGACTCAGTTTATTTGTTCTTGTCAGTGGACAGTGAAGTTTTGTTTGTCGAAACCAGTTGGGGCAGAGAGTGACACCACCGAGGCGCTGTGATTTATTTTCTGCTAGCCCACCACTTCCCCTGTGCTTCTTCCCCAGCCCCCACAGCCCTCCCACCCCCGGCCCTGGGCTGGGGGACATGGCCAGCACCCTGGGCACACAGCTGTGGGGTGACCCTGCTCAAATCCTGGCAGCACCAGGGCTTTTCCTTCTCTTTTTTTCTTTTTCTTTATAGCTGCCTTGAGGCTCTGCTGTTGACCAGTACAAAGGAGTAACTCTACTTTTGGGGCCACAAGATGCTTGTTGTGTCAGTTTTGTCTGTAGAGATGAGTCCTTCTTTCTCACAGGACCATAGACTATGGATGCTGGTGGTCTGTAGGCATTGACCTCCAGTGGCACATCCAATGGGACAGCTGGAGAAGCAGTTGCCATCAAGGGAACGGAGCTGATGCCAAGTCAAAGTGTGCGCTCAACAACTACAGTCAATTCCATCCCACACCCAATTCCCAAAAGGGTGTGCGAACTACATGACTTCATTGCCCAAAACTGTGTTGCCAGATGACATTTCTTCAGCAGAGGGACTGGAGAGCAGTCAAGCCTCAAAATGCCTCTTTGGGGTCACATTTTAGGGAGGGTGTATTGAGAGTCTTGGATGGGTGTTGAAAGTAGAGCAGGCTGCTTTGCAAAAACCAGCTTTCTTTTGCAAACACATTTGTTTAAAATGTAAGAGGAGTCTGATAGAAATAAATTCAAGGAAATTGGACTGTTTAGCTTATTAAAAAGATCAAACAGAGACTTGATTGCAGCACATAAGTATTTTCACTGAGGAAAAATAACATATATTAAAGATCTCTTTAATCTAGCCGAGAGAAGACAGCTGAATTCCAATGGCTGGGAGGAAAAGCCAAAGAAATTGAAATTGGAAATTAAGCATTTCATTTAATTCTATTCCCTTTGTGGGGAAGTACAAGGTTGGATAACAATGCAAAAAACAATTGGCACAACTAAGAGTGCATAATGGAAGTGATCAGGAGAGAAAGCTTTTCTGTGTGACATGGTTTCAGCAGGGTCAGGGGTTTTAGGGCAAACATGAAATGTTAGAGTGGATGTGAAGTAACAGCTGGAGTAGGAAGCCAAAAAAGCAAGGTAGCACTGATACCAGAGCCCATCTCAATTGGTGGCCCTCTACCATTGATAAGGAAGAGCCTCAGTTAACCCCATGGCCAAGACATAAAGCTGACCCAGGATCCAGGTGGTGACATCCCAGGACCAGGTGTCACATGCAGCTCCTTCCACCTTCAATTCCCCCCCAGGCCTGGCATTATGTATTTGATATCCCAGGAATATGGCCCTTCTCTCTGATGCAGAGGTATTTAGCAAAGGGGAACATTTATCCTCCCAGAGATTAGACTACAGTGGAGAGGACCCTCAGCAGTGTTGGGGAAATTACCTTGTTAAAAGACTATTTGCAGTTTAACCTCCTTCTGTGGAAGATACACCAGCAGACACTGCTCAGCACACCAGCAGGGCTTGCTGATCACCCCACTCACCATTGGAGCAAGTGAAGTGTTCAGCAAAACAAGGGAGGTTCCAATTGCCAGTCCCAGGAGGTATCAAAAATGGTACCAAAAAATGTCACTGTGCAGCTCTGAGCATACAAATGATGGTGTTTTATCAATATTTTCCCTCACCACCACTAAGTAACACCTCCCACAAATTCAGAATCGCTGAGAGATTTAAACAGGGCTTTCAAATGTTCAGTTCTGCTCAAAGAGATGGTGCTAACATCCTTTAGCACATGAATCATTCCATTGCAATAATAATGTAATTCTGTGGGCAGTGATGAGTTTATTAAACCGACTGCCCTCTCCCA